ATGATCCGATACGCTCTCTGCGTCATGTGAACACCGTCCCAACTAATACGTGTTGCCGGATCCTCGCACGCCGAAACCCCGGGGAAGCCACACTGCTTGGCCACGTCAAAATTATACTCACCGCCACCTCCACAGCAAGCTTTTTGTAAAGATGACTCATCGAACCCTGTACGTACGTGCAAGAAAGAAATATTTAAGTAAGGCATGCAAAATAATAATAAATTATCAAATACTTCACGCTGAGGCATACGTACGTACCTAGTGCTGAGGCGTTTTCAATGAGATACGTGAACGCACGATAATAATCCGCATACTTGATGTGAACGTAGGGGTGGTATTCCTTCCTCAAATCTCCCAAGGCTTCTTGAAGTTTTGCGTTGTGGAAGAGGGAGAAGGCGTTCAAGTCTTTTAGGCAGTTGTTTTCATCATAGTCTTCTTGATTCTTTGAGCCAAAAGCTGCAAGGTGTTGGAGTTATAATAAAGATAACTTAAAACTTGAGTTTGTAGAGGAAAAGAGGAAAAACTTTAGTCCCACATTGGAAAAGAGATGGGAAGGTAGGCTCTTTATAAGCCTTCCCTTTCTCTCCTATGCCTAGAAGAAAACAAATGTTATGCTCCACACCACACACGTGCGCGCCGGCCGGGCCGGGCTCGGGTTCGGGTCGGGTCGGGTCGGGTGGCGCGCGCACACGACCTGCGGACACGAATGCAGCTCCGGATTGAGGGGCCTTTAATCTGCTACATTTTAATTTTCTCTTTTGAACTTTTCTTTTTGTATTAAAAACGTGATTAATATTTTCAAAATTTGTTAAACGGCTAGCATAATTATAGGCGGAAATTAAGGATCTAAACGGTTAGTATTAAAGCGTGTTTATCATGAAACAAATTAAAAACGTTGTTAATAAAAACGTTTTAAATGAGAGAGAGAGAGATTGCTGGTTCCCTGAAAGTTTACGAAGAATTCGCAAAGCCTTCTTGAAGCTCGTGCCGACGAGAAGGAGGTCGCCTGACCGAGGGTCGTTGTATCTCCGGGAACTTTTGCCGCGTAGCCCTGTACGAGAGGGGGCAATTAGTTTCTTGGGACAGTGCTTGCACGCCTCGACCATCAGGCCGTATTTCTAACCCTCATTTCTTTTGAATTATCTGTGATGCAATATTAATTCATTAAGTGATCTGAAAATTATTAACTGAATTTCGTGCTAAACAGCTTCTATTCCCAACAACCCAAGAAACTAATTTTGTGCTGTTTAGAATAGTATCATGATTAACATTCTGATTTTCATGTTAATGTTGTCTGCAATACTTAAAAACGAAATGTTACACTGCATGATAATTCTGTTGAATGAATGCTTTATATATTTCTGTTGCATTATAATAACAAAACTATTTATTCATCATCAGATTATGGCTACAAGTGAAATTATGTCTGCTAAACCAGAGAAGTTTGATGGGAACAATTTCCGTCGTTGGCAAAACCAAATGAGATTTTGGTTAACAACTCTACATCTAATAACAACCATAGAACCAGATAACCCATCTTCATCTAGACCAGTTACTAGGCAATCTTCCTCATCTTCCTCCACAGATTCCATTCCTATCCCAAGAACACCTCAAGAAATAGAGTATCATTGTCTACATAGAATCTTAGGAGCTTTATCTGATAGATTATATGATATATACTATACTATCACTAATGCTAAAGTTCTGTGGGAAACCTTAGAGAAAAAGTATGGTCTAGATGATATGGGAATTAAAAGATTTAAAGCATCTGATTTTAACAAATTTAAAATGGTAGATTCTAAACCAATGAATGAGCAAATTCATGAATTTGAACATATAGTTCACCAATTAAAAGTGAATGGATCCATCTTAGATGAAACGTTTCAGATAGCCTGTCTTATAGACAAACTTCCCGAGTCCTGGTCAGATTTTGCCAAAAACCTTAACCATACCCAAGGAGATCTTACCCTAGAGCAAGTATTGAATTCTATTAGAATTGAAGAGCAACATAGACTCAGGGAGAAAAATGTGACAAAATCTGAACCCAAAGAACCCAAAGTAAACAATGTTGAATCCAAACCCTTTCCTCAACACAAGAAACGTCCCTTCCACCAAAATCAAAATAAAACATTTAAGAAGAAACCCTATCATCAAAATAAGAACCATGTTCACTTTCAAAAGAAGGAAGGAGCTGAACGTCGAGCCTGCTTTGTTTGTGGAAGAACCAACCATCTTGCTAAGGACTGCTTTTTCAAGAAAACTGAACCACCCAAGCCTAGGAAGGGAGGACCTCCACCTAATAAGTCACAAGTAAACATGGTGACTTCCAGTCCAGCTGAGGCTGCTTTCAGGTCTGTTCTCTTCACTCCTGAAGTAAACATGACCTTTCAAGCAAATGATTGGTGGATTGACACTGGAGCTAATATTCACGTTTGCTCTAATCAATCTTTGTTTTCCACCTATCAGGTCTCAAGTAGAGGAACTGTGACAATGGGAAATAATAATGTGGCTCCTGTATCCAAAAAATTTTCGTTACTGTTCACCGAACATTACTGTTCATCCGAACCCAAAAATTGAATCTTTAACCAGAGATTTAAGATAAAAAACCCAATAAAACTTAAATCCCTAAGAATTAATCAAGGTGGCTCTGATACCACTTGTTAGATCTACATCATAACACTTGAGATCTAAAACCATATAGCCATGATTAATTCAAAGAATTACAAGCGATCTAAAAAGAGCGGAAGCTTATACCTGAATCCATTGCTTGATATTGATTTTGGGTTTTGGATCTTCTAACCTTAGGGTTTCTCTAAAACCGAATTTCTCTCTTAGATGGGGGTGAAGAGAATTAGAGATGTAGTAGTCCTAGATTAGGGACCATAACCCCTTGATTTTATAGATGTTGTACTTTTGTAATTTAGCCCCTCAATAAATTACAATTACAACCTGGATCTGACACATATAACCCCATGACTTATTTAAATACCAAATTAACCCAACTTAATATGATCACTTTAGTGGGTTTATCCTGAAAGATAGCAATACACATTGATTAATCATATGTGCCCACAAATAGATTTATTAGATTAAATCCAACAATCTCCCACGTTGGGCACCAATATGATTCCTTAAACTGTGTATAACCTTATGAGCTCAAAAATTGCTATCACGTGAAATGCGTATTCCGAACAATCTCGCCATTGACTATATCCAATATAGGGATCAAAGCGGCTTCGTCACATTTATCGTGACTCGACCCCATCAAAATACACTACACATATACCAATACAATCAACATGACATAGATCAATCTATGGCACTGTGCAGCATGAAAATTACATGCAATGTGATCAGTACATGTCTATTTCAACTGTCCTCCCCTTAGTAGATCGCTCTCCTGTTGGTGTGTTTGTTGTTTGTTAATCTCTTTGAATTAATCATGGCTATATGGTTTTAGATCTCAAGTTTATGATGTAGATCAAACAATTGAAAAAGGCAAGTGATGTGGAGGGAGAATAAAGTGAGGTGGAAGGAGAGAGAAAGGCAAATTTTGCCTTGCCATTGAAGATGGTCTTATAGAGTGCCCATGGACACTATAGAAAAACCATTTATACAATTTCCTTCTTAAATATCACTTATAGTTGTCAATTTTTAGGATTAGTTCGATTGGTCATATTTATTCATGTCACGAGAAGAAGAAGCAAGAAGTTACGTACCTTGGTAGCATTAACTATCGTTTGCACAACATAAGGAACATAGCTTTCCACTTGCTCTATGCTTTTTCCCGCCATGAAGGCATAGTTGTAGTCATTGCCTCCAATCTCCCCCATCATGACAAGGGATTGTCTGAGCTTCTTCGCACATTCTGCATGCAAAATAACAGTAGTATACGTACAAATCAAACTTAATTGATCGAGAACATCAACACTTGAGTAATTGAGTGTGGAGAAGAATTGGAAAAAGCAGATTTTTGGTCATAAGTCGACTCATGCACAGGCATAAGTCGACTTATGGTAAGTCGACTTATGTTGGTGCATGAGTCGACTTACGTTCTGCTCTGGATTGTTGGTTTTTTGCTCTGCCAAGTCGACTTATCAGGTCTGATAAGTCGACTTATGATCTCTTCTCCAGTTGCTGTTTTTCGCTCTGCCAAGTCGACTTATGCAGACTGATAAGTCGACTTATGACGGGTTTTTTGGAAAGTTCAGGTTCCTATTTGCAGTCTGTTTGGGTTTCTGTTTTGGTATAAATACCAATACGATTTGAGGGTTTTGTGAGGAGAGTTTTGGGGTTTTGGAGCACAGAAAAAGAGAGATCTTTCTGAGCTATTTGTTAGGGTTATTGGTTGAGAGATTGAGAGATTTGTTGGTGAGATTAGTTGGTTCGTTTGAGCGATTTGTAATCTCAATTTGTACTCTCCTTCTCTATTAGTGAAAACCCACCCCCTTCTTGCCCCGTGGACGTAGGCAATTTGCCGAACCACGTAAAACCTTGGTGTTTGTGTTTTGTTTGGTCTTTCTCTCGGCGTTCGTTGGTTTGGTTTCTCAAAGCATCAGTCACAACAAGTGGTATCAGAGCACGGGCAACGCTTGGGCTATTTGGAGGAGTAGATCGCTTTGGAAGTTCATCTAGGGCTTCGTTTGGTGATAAAGGTGGGATCTTTTTTTGTAAAAATCTCGTCTTTTTCAGTTTGGATCTATTTCTCGTTTGTTTCCGCATTGGTTTGGTGGTGCCTTGAGGATTATGGCCGAGAAAGAAGGAGTTGTGGGCAGTACTTCCGGCGTGAAGACCGTCCAAAGCTTGAATATCCACTCAATGAAGATTGATGTGGAAAAGTTCAATGGCACAAACAATTTTGGACTTTGGCGATGCGAAGTCATGGATGCGCTCAACGCGCAAAATTTGGAAGATACGTTGGAGTTGGACGGGAAACCGGACAACATTGATGAGAAGGTTTGGAAAAAGATGAATCGAACGGCGTGTGGTGTGATTAGGTCTTGTCTCACTCAAGATCTAAAGTATGATGTGATCAATGAGACTTCTGCAAAGAAGATTTGGGAGATCCTTGAGAGCAAGTATTTGACCAAGAGTGTGGAGAATCGCTTGCATTTGAAGAGGAGGCTTTACCGCTTCCAGTTGAAGAAAGGAACCTCCATTGGTGATCACATGAACCACTACACGAAGCTTCTTGCGGATTTGGCGAATGTGGATGTTAAGATTGAAGATGAGGACAAGGCGTTGTTGCTATTGAGTTCCTTGCCTGACGAGGAATATGAGACCTTCGTTCTTACTCTTATTAATGGGAAGGCATCTCTTTCGTATAGTGAGGTCACCGCTGCACTTGTGAATTATCAGCTTCGAAAGAAGGATAAGGAGACTTCGTTTGAGCCGGTAGCGGGGGCGTTGGTCGCAAGAGCAAAGGGTCCAAACCGTAGTGGGAGGTCGCAGTCTAGAGGGGCACATCTTGGAGTTCGTAAGAATCAATGTGCCTTTTGCAAAGAAGATGGACATTGGAAAGCCGATTGCCCAAAGTTAGTTGATCGAGCCGGGAAGAATAAGGGAAAAGCTATTCAAGCTTCAGAGGCGAATGTTGTCAAGGCTAGTGGCAACGATTCAGATTCGGATTCTTCGGGCTACTCGTTATCTGCACTGCCGTCAGTTTGTGTTGCCTACTCTACAGAGTGGATATTGGATTCGGGTGCTACATACCACATTTGCCCTAGGAGGGATTGGTTCTCCAGCTTTCAGGAGTTGGAAAGAGGGGATTTCGTGCTCATGGGGAATGATCACAAATGCTCTATTGGTGGTATTGGTACTGTTCGGATCAGGATGAGTGACGGGGTGATTCGGGAGTTGGTTGGAGTGAGGTTCGTTCCTCAGTTGAAGAAGAACATCATTTCACTTGGAGCTTTGGAGGCAGCTGGCTATAGGGTGACCTTGGCGGATGCACGCTTGAAGGTTACATTTGGGTCCATGATTGTGATGAAGGGCGTCAGAAGAAGAAATTTGTATTATTTGCACGGAAGCACGGTGATTGATAGGGAAATGACGACTTCATCAGATTCGGCTAGACTGTGGCATTGTTTGGTGCTGGGGTATATGATTGGTAATACCGTGCATTGGTTGTTGAGGAGTGCTATGACCTGCAGATTGAAGTCCTGTGAGCACATTAGGATGAGCGAGACCGTGGTGGAGTTTGGCACTTCTATCCATCGAGCGAGGGGTCTTTTTGGAGGTGTTCAGTCAGGCATTTGGGGGCCTTCCAAGGAGGCATCATTGGGAGGTAATCGTATCTTGGTTTCCACAGTTGGTGATTGTTCTAGGCATTATTGGGTCGCGACCAGTTCCCGTTGGTGTAAAGTCCTAGAAGTCAACAACAATTGGAAGAAGTGTATTGGCAGAAAGGTAACTCATTGTTTCAGCTTTGGTAGGGGTCCTTTCTTGCGTTGGTGCCGAGCTCACGGCAATAGGAGACACTTCATTGGTGTGGAGACTTTGGGGCGACGAGATGAGATGACAGTTTCGATGGGTCGTTCCTTTCTGGAGGAGGATCGGCGTTTGATGTCGAGCATTGGCATTGGTGTGCGGGCTTCGACATATTTGGGTCATCTTATGCATAGGTCGCCGACTGCTGCTTTAGGAGTTATTAGATCTGGTGGAGCTGCTTCAGATTTTGGGTCGCGTCGGATATTTGGATACCCAGCATTTGGTCACATCGTGGATGTGAGATTGGATCCGATTGCGCGTTTGGGGTTCGGAGGCTCAGTTGATTATCGTTTGGGAGCTTCTGATTTTGTTCTGAGCAGGTATGTCACTTTTGACTCTCGGCAGGTGGAGAGTGTTGATCAGGTCATTTGGATATCGCAGCAGGTGGAGAGTGATGCTACTCCACGTTGGGTGGAGATTACTCCACATACTCCAGATCATACTGCGTCATTTGGGATTCCAGCTAAGGTGACACAGGTTGGAGATCATTTGGTTTTGGATGCAGATGATGGATTGGTTTTGGATTCAGTTGCAGCTGGTAGATATAGTTTGGATATGGCCATTGGTTTACCTCAGGTGGAGGTGTTTGATTTGTCTCAATTTGGGGTCATTGGGAATACTATCAGTTGCAGATCGTTTGGTGATATTGGAGAAGAGTTGCAGACTTTTCTATTTGATTGAGGGCCTTTGGAGGCCGTTTGGGTGAACTACGTGAAGGCTTGATTCCTTGGGCAAAGGATACGTAGGCAGTCATTTTGATGCAGCCGATTTGGTGAGCGACATCGACATTTGGGGTGAGTGTTCACACTCTCATTTGGGTCTCAGCATGTGAGGCATTTGTTTGGTTGGTGTCGGCTCAGTTTTGGGAAAACTTCGCCGAGGTGGAGAATTGTGGAGAAGAATTGGAAAAAGCAGATTTTTGGTCATAAGTCGACTCATGCACAGGCATAAGTCGACTTATGGTAAGTCGACTTATGTTGGTGCATGAGTCGACTTACGTTCTGCTCTGGATTGTTGGTTTTTTGCTCTGCCAAGTCGACTTATCAGGTCTGATAAGTCGACTTATGATCTCTTCTCCAGTTGCTGTTTTTCGCTCTGCCAAGTCGACTTATGCAGACTGATAAGTCGACTTATGACGGGTTTTTTGGAAAGTTCAGGTTCCTATTTGCAGTCTGTTTGGGTTTCTGTTTTGGTATAAATACCAATACGATTTGAGGGTTTTGTGAGGAGAGTTTTGGGGTTTTGGAGCACAGAAAAAGAGAGATCTTTCTGAGCTATTTGTTAGGGTTATTGGTTGAGAGATTGAGAGATTTGTTGGTGAGATTAGTTGGTTCGTTTGAGCGATTTGTAATCTCAATTTGTACTCTCCTTCTCTATTAGTGAAAACCCACCCCCTTCTTGCCCCATGGACGTAGGCAATTTGCCGAACCACGTAAAACCTTGGTGTTTGTGTTTTGTTTGGTCTTTCTCTCGGCGTTCGTTGGTTTGGTTTCTCAAAGCATCAGTCACAACATTGAGTACGTAGATATCGTGTAATGCTAGCTCGCTCGATCATATAGTTTTTTCCAAGGTTAATTAATTTACCCGCACGTGAGAAGCATGTGGAGTTGAGATGGGACTTGAACCATTTAAGCTGAACGCTGAGGGAGCTGTGCGTAAAAAGGTTTGCGATGCCGTGGCTGTCAAAGAAAGATCCATCAAGAGCTGTGGCTCCAGCTACAGCGAAGTTGACTCCGCATTTGAAGTCCCCGTTCTTGTCTTAGAAAGGAGAAATGTGAAGATCCAAGCCCAATGCTGTTGGGGGGGGGGGGAGGGGAGACAACTACGTAATTAGTAATGTAAACTTAATTATTGCAAAAAAAAAAAGTTAAGGCTACCTCTAATTGTAAAACTTATTGTAAAATTTTAAGTAGTGATATGATGTTATGATGTATGTATATTTGATCTGCAAAATGAAATTATAAGGTTACCTAGCTCTAATGGGATTGCGAATCCGAGACGAGCTAAATACTTTAATCTGGTTAATGTGGGTTATTAAGAATCCTCTTTTGTTAATTATATGCTTAATATATGATGATGAATACTAACGTATATAGATGATTTTTGGCTACAGTTCTCTCAATCATGCTTCTTCTGTGTATGAATATATATACGTTTTCCATAACATTGTTCTAACGTTTTTCCCGTTCCCGGCCAATTAAGTTAGGAAACCGTGTCAACAAAAGATATATACCAACCAAACACATAAAAAGTATGAGGTATATATATACGATTACAAGAAAACGTCCTTCATCTCATGCATATTAAACTTTTTTAATAAAATTATTTTTTCCTAATTATCTGAATTGTTGATCACATGCACGTAGCCATGCAAACATACATACATATGATATATATATAATAATTAATAACATCAAATCAAATTCTTTTTTTTTTTTGGCTTGAGATAGCTAGATAGATATATACCCAAGTAGTCGATCATGTAGGGCTGAGCATGGTTCGGTCCAAACCGAAAAAACCGACCAAACCGATCCGAACCGACCCGAAAAAATCGGTTTTATGAGTAGGACGGTTCGGGTCGGTTTGAAAACTTTTCAACCCGAACCGACCCGAACCGACCGAATATAGTGCAATACGACCCATTCTGATCTCAAACCCTACGCGACTCGTCCCTAAAAAGTCAAAGACTCAAACCCTAAACTCATTTTTTGAATCATTATGGGTTGAAAACAATATCATTATATCAACATTTACTGCTTCATAATCTCCTACTTTGTTGATATCTTTTTTTTCTTTAACACAATTTGTTGTTTGATAAGAAGTTTGGTGAAGTTAGAACCGAACAAACCAAACCGAACCGCACCGAACCGACTTGCAACAGTTCGGTTCGGTTTTGAATTATAGGCGGTTTGGTTTGGTTGTTCAAATTTTGATAAAAACCGAACCGAACCGATCGTTGCACACCCCTACGATCATGAGAAGGCCATCAGAGCAACGGCCGGTGGATTTGTTGAAGGTATTCCGGCCGTAGGGGAGTTTGGCGATGGTGGAGAAAGGCCCATGGGCTCCCTCACGTATCAGATTGCCCGTGTCGGCTATGGAGTCTCCGAAACTGTATATGGACCTTATGCATGGCTTCTCTCGGATTTCAAACCCAAACCCAAACCCAAACCAGGCAGGAAGAAGAACAAGATGATGATGGTGAACAAAAACTTGGTGAACATCTTATCAAAGCAGCAGTAGACCGTTGCCAATTATAATATTCAACAAGCTTATATAGGGCTTAATTTAATTTGTTCGCATATATGCATGTGTTCACGGGTGCAATTAAGATGAACAATATATATAGGCTCTGCAGCCCTGCAGGGTTTAAAGAATTCTATGATAACAACAACTCTACCAGTGATATAACAAACATATCCAACTCCTACTTAAATGATTTAAACAAGGGAAAAATGCTTCCAGCCCCCAAAAGCCAAGTGAACATGCTTCCCACCCCCAGGACTTGGTCAATGGGTGTTTTACCCCTAAAAATAAAGAATCTGTTCTCTGAGCCCCCAAAACACAAAACCCAAGACATTAAAACATGTGAAGACCATAATACCCTTCTCTCTCTCTTTCTTTTTTTATTAAAATATGATGGGGGATTATTTTATTATTTCTGTTTTCTCTCTCTCTTTATCATGATGTACCAAGAGGATAGTTGAAATGATTGATGAGGATTATTTTATTATTTTTGTTTTTTATTATTTTGGTTGTTTGTATTGGAAGGTTGTTAAGGTTACGGGTTGGTTGTTAAGGTTACGGGTTGGTTGTTAAGGTTAAGGGTTTGTTGTTAAGGTTATGAATCATCTCTCTCTCTCTTTCTTTTTTTATTAAAATATGATGAGGATTATTTTATTATTTTTGTTTTCTCTCTCTCTTTATCATGATGATTGATGAGGATTATTTTATTATTTTTATTTTTTATTATTTTGGTTGTTTGTATTGGGAGGTTGTTAAAGTTACGGATAGATTGTTAAGGTTACGGGTTGGTTGTTAAGGTTAAGGGTTTGTTGTTAAGGTTATGAATCCTCTCTCTCTCTCTCTCTCTCTCTCTTTCTATATGATGAGGATTATTTTATTATTTTACCCAAGACATTAAAACATGTGAAGACCATAATACCCTTCTCTCTCTCTTTCTTTTTTTATTAAAATATGATGGGGATTATTTTATTATTTTTGTTTTCTCTCTCTCTTTATCATGATGTACCAAGAGGATAGTTGAAATGATTGATGAGGATTATTTTATTATTTTCGTTTTTTATTATTTTGGTTGTTTGTATTGGGAGGTTGTTAAAGTTACGGGTTGATTGTTAAGGTTACGGGTTGGTTGTTAAGGTTAAGGGTTTGTTGTTAAGGTTGTGAATCCTCTCTCTCTCTTTCTTTTTTTATTAAAATATGATGGGGATTATTTTATTATTTTTGTTTTCTCTCTCTCTTTATCATGATGTACCAAGAGGATAGTTGAAATGATTGATGAGGATTATTTTATTATTTTCGTTTTTTATTATTTTGGTTGTTTGTATTGGGAGGTTGTTGTTTGTTTTGGGAGGTTGTTAAAGTTACGGGTTGGTTGTTAAGGTTACGGGTTGGTTGTTAAGGTTAAGGGTTTGTTGTTAAGGTTATGAATCCTCTCTCTCTCTTTCTTTTTTTATTAAAATATGATGGGGATTATTTTATTATTTTTGTTTTCTCTCTCTCTTTATCATGATGTACCAAGAGGATAGTTGAAATGATTGATGAGGATTATTTTATTATTTTCGTTTTTTATTATTTTGGTTGTTTGTATTGGGTGGTTGTTAAAGTTACGGGTTGATTGTTAATGTTACGGGTTGGTTGTTAAGGTTAAGGGTTTGTTGTTAAGGTTGTGGATTTGTTGTGTAGGTTACGAATTTGTTGTTAAGGTTACGGGTTTAATTGTTAAGGTTACGGGTTTAATTGTTAGGGTTACCTATCTAAAGATCCTCTTGGTACATCATGATAAAGAGAGAGAGAGAAAAAAATAATAAAATAATCCTCATCATATTTTAATAAAAAAAAGAGAGAGAGAGAAGGGTATTATGGTCTTCACATGTTTTAATGTCTTGGGTTTTGTGTTTTGGGGGCTCAGAGAACAAAATTTTTATTTTTAGGGGTAAAACACCCATTGACCAAGTCTTGGGGGTGGGAAGCATGTTCACTTGGCTTTTGGGGGCTGGAAGCATTTTTCCCTTTAAACAAAGTCCTAAAGACTATTAAATCGAATTGATCTAGAACTCTCCTAGCATTGGGATTAACTTCTTAAACAAAGTTTCAGTGGTCTTGTATAAATTAAATAATGTTAACATGAAAACAGCTAGACATGAAGGGCTTATATGAAAAAGTGGCTATAACAGTTCCTACAAAAAGCAAAAAACAAAAAAATCTCGGTGATTTCCACCCACCAAGAATTCCAGCCTGGCAACTCCACGTGTGACTCTTCACGTGGGTTAACCACGTCAGTTTCAGATCACCACTCTTCACATGGGCCATTCATGGCGGTGGTGAGCCCACGACTGCGAAAGTTCCGCGGCCCGTCAATTTAGACCCAACGCAAATACCTTTAAAGTAAAGGTCTTAATTGAGAAATGACTGGAGATACGATTCTGCTAATAAAGGCGGTGGGTCCTAGTTAGTCAGGTGCGGGTCACGTGGGCCTACAGAGAATGCTGTGGGCAGTATTTTGCCACGTTAGATGGCAGGAATCTCGACAGCTAGTTTCTGCCACACAAGAGAGAAAATATCTGGTGCTTGTGGGGCCGAGGGAGGGACACGTGGGAGATGAGGAGTGAGTGACTCCGTTGGAGGGCGCAGACGAGAGCCACTTGGCTAGACTAGCCCAGGTTCTGTACTGATATGACGAAATTAACCCTGCAGGGATTAAGAGATTTTGTGCGAGTTTCTCCCGCGGGGTAACGTTACCGACTGGGAGTTTCACCTATTTTTGTTCATTAATGAACATCGCTAAGCTTAACGGATAAGATATGGAAAATGATAGGGGCACATCCCAATTCCCAAACAATATCCCAAACCACACCTCCTCTCTCATATGCTATAATGCATCAGGTCCCACATGAGATTTTAAAATTTTAAAATCCCATGTGGGACCTGATGCATTATAGCATATGAGAGAGGAGGTGTGGTTTGGGATGTGGTTGGGGGTGTGCCCCTAGTGCCACCCATAAGATATACCCATGTACCTCTGCGTCCAACAACGCAAGGTTCACATGGTTTGCGAATATTTTTTTATGGTGACTCATCGATCTTCTACTTTATTCACCACTCTAAAAATAAGAGCTTTAAAAATAAGTTTCATTGGTAAAATTTAAAAAAAAATCTCAGTTCAAATCTATGATGATTCATGTTAAATCAACTATTCCAAATACCGGCACTGTTAATATCAGAAAATTAGTGTGAGATTTAAATGATGCAAGGACGATTTCCGGTCCATTAATCTCCTCTGATGGCGCTGATGGTTTTTACAGAGCTGTTGGACCAATATTGCCTGCACAGTTAGAGGACCTGAACATTGTTTCCTTCGGCATGCTCTTGAACACTCAAAGCAGCGACTGATTTGATAATCTAAAGAGAAGCAGGGTATAGTCTTTAGAATTCTTTGTGCATAAAATTGTGTACCTTTGAATAGTGGAGATCGTCCACTATTTATGATAGGGGTATATCTATAATTTGACTATGTCGGTGCACTCGGTTGATCATACCATAATTTACGTGTGTTTTCAGCTAGGTGAATGAATCATCTTGGTATTTAATATGGCAAAGATAGAACGGCGGAAGTGCTGACGTGGTCCGAGAAGTCATTACTTCGGCGCGAAGAGTTATGATGGCTCTGACTCAACATTAAATGTAAGGGTGATTGAGTGGTGAAGTATGACTATTGAAGCTGATAAGTCATCTCATCATTTGAGATATACCTTAGAGAGCCCGAATAGAAAACATCTTTCGTCGTCTGACTCGGGTGGCAAAACCGGCCTGAAGATGTTTTTCGTCTCGGATCCGGGTCAAATAAGAGATTAGCGAGGTCTATATCCGGGTTGCGCTTTCAGATTACTGGAACTTGGTTAGTTAATCATGATATGTGTCCGACTTTTGGTTGTCTATTATACTAAGAAATTTTCAAGATATAACAGGTATGTACTTATTTATGTTGAGAACTAAAAAGTTCAATTTAAAGTACTTGAGTTTTGTCTCAAAATATCGGATTAGTAAATATAATTATAATTGTCTGTCTCCTTACACTAAACTAGGAAGTAAATCCGATGTGTGCGTTAATTTGAAAGTAGATGTTGTGGTTGAAATATGTCACATAGTTTATAGTTGAACAAGATCTGGGCAAGAGTTCATAGAATGCACGATAGGCCTAATGACACTTTCATATCCTATTGTTTCATCACATGTAGACTTAGATATTCTAAACTGTAGGAAATAGCACTTTGATATTCTAAGTTGTATAAAGCATTAACGTAATATCCAAAGTTACAAAAAGTTACACTTAAATACATTATTATTTCATCATATTTACTTTTGAATATTTTAAATTGTAAAAAATAGTTTTTTAATACCCTAAAATGTAAGAAAGTAGCAGTTTAATACCCAAAGTTATAAAAAAATAGCACTCTAATACGTTCTGATAATTGTCAATAGATATTTTTAGGAATATTCTCATAACAATTAATAGAAGATACCAGCGTGCTATTTTTTTTATAAATTAGAACATTAAAATGTTACTTTTTACAACTTAAGGTATTAAAGGGTAAATATAAAGTATTGTGAAATAGATTTAGGTGGGACAAATTTTCAAAATGAACCGATTTCGAATTTTAAATAGCAAAACCGACCTTATCGAAATTTAAATAGCAAAACCGACCCTTTTCAGAAGAAAAGGGTCGGTTTTGCTGCGGAAGATTTTTTACGACATACACGGGACTGCTAGTACCGTGTATTTCGTGGCAATTTCGAATAACACGGGACTAGCAGTCCCGTGCGATCGGGGGGTAAAAAATTGAAACCCGTGACTTTCTTCCTCTTTACCTCACTCATTTTCACCCAAACCAGTTTCACCCCCACCTCTTTCACCGCTCCTCAGACCCATCGACGCCGACCACTGCCGCCGCCGATCAAGAGCCCCCCGACCACCGCCGCCGCCGACCAAGTTCCGACCACCGCCGCCGACCAAGTTCCGACCACCGCCGGCGACCAAGGTAAATGTGGTTTTTTTTTTTTTTTTTTTTTGATTAGCCATTTTGGGTTGAGATTTGGGAATTATGGTTGAGAGGAATGAATTTAGTTGAGATTTGGGATTAAGGTTGAAATTTAGGAATGTATTTAGTTGAGATTAGGGAATTAGGGTTTAGACATGAATAATGTGATTAGGGTTTAGATATGATTAGGGTTTAGACATGAATAATGTGATTTGAGATTAGGGTTTAACCATAATTAGGGTTTAGACATGAATAATGTGATTTGGGATTAGGGAATTTAGTAATTATTTGCTTTGTAGTTGAGATTAGGGTTTTAAATTTGACTTTAAATTAAGATTAATATTTACAGTTATAATAGATTATTTACATATGATGGATTGTTGATTTTCAGCTTCGATGGCAAACTCTATACCCATTATTTGCTTCTTCAATGGGAGCCTCGGCGTCGGATTGAATAGTATGCCGATGTATGAGGGAGGTTCTAGGAAAATGTTTATGCTATCCAAGTCATTAAATTTTGATGGAATGATGAATGAAATACACAGAGTTACGAAAATTAATAAAGCATGTTATGCAATTAAAGTGTTCTTCAATTGTCCGGTAAATGAGAGTAGAACTATTGCTGTGGCGATTACCGACGATGAGGAATTGAATGACATGAAACAATTAGTGGAGAAGCAAGCGTCAGTTGAGTTGTTCATTGAGAAGTATCCGATTCAAGAATTTGCCCAAGCTTCACGACCACAAGGAGAGTTTTCTCGGATGATGGACTTAGACAATGAGTCGAGTGGTTTTATGACATCTCCAAGTCAAGAGCCGTGGTGTCAACTACAACATTTAAGTGGGCATTCTCTTGGTGGGACGTCAAGTACTATATTTAACGACGCATCGGGCTATGTTACGGGTGATCTACCGGCCGGATCAATTGTAGAAGAAGAAGTAAATGATGACTCAGAAGATATTGAAGAAGAAGACGTGCAAATTGATAGCATGCATGTGGCAGTTGGAATCGATGATGATTCTCGTTGGATGGATCAATTTAATGTTAACAATGATTATGTGGAAGCTGAAGATCCGTTGCCCGACGAGTTTCATAATGAAGATTGGATAAATACTTCGCAAGCTGAATTTGTTGATGTTGGTCCAAACTTTCAACGGCCTGAAGACTTCACTTTTAAAAAAGGGGACCTATTCGAGAGCAAGGAAGCATTGATCTTTGCGGTGCGAGAATGGTCTATAAAAAATCGGGTCAATTTCAAGCCTGTAAAAACTAATACAACCAACTACTATGTAAAATGTTATTTCAACGAGAAGAATGAAGTAGAGCATGCAAATGAGCAAGATGAGAGAAACAGGAAATGTCCTTGGTTGCTAAATGCCGCTGTGAGGAAATCAACAAATGGGCAATTTGTAATATCTAGATATTGCGGGCTTCATACATGTTGCAATCCGTCGGTGGACGTCGATCATTATTCTGCATCTTCCTCTTATATATGTAAGCTAATTATGCCTGAAGTTAGAGCTGAACTTGATCTAAATGCAAGTCAGATATTTCAAAGGGTATATGATATGCGGGGCATTAAGATATCTAAATATAAGGCATATGATGCAAGGAGGAAAGCGTTGTCGAAAATATTTGGAGATTGGGAAAAATCTTATGAATTACTTCCACAGTATCTCGAAGCTATCAAGCGAAATAATCCGGGTACTGAATATGAAATATTGTCTGAAGAGATTGCACCGGGGATGGAGAGGTTCACTCGAGTATTTTGGGCATTTGGTCCGGCTATTAAGGGCTTCACTTTTTGTCGTCCGTTATTGAGCATTGACGGTACACATCTATATGGCAAGTACAAAGGCGTGCTTCTTGTGGCGACCGGTGTAGATGCAAATGGCGGTTTATTTCCTCTAGCATTTGCAGTTGTGGAGGTAGAGGATACTTCTAGTTGGAAGTGGTTCTTTGAACTTATATACAAGTGGATTCCTAGTGTCCGTGCGCCCAGATTAATTACTTTTATCTCAGATAGGATGAAAGGAATTATAAGGGCATTACATGAGGGTTTTGGTGCACCACATCACCATCGATATTGTTTGAGGCATATAAGAGATAATTTTAAGAAAAAACACGGTGAGATTAATTTGCAAAATCTTTTGTGGCAAGCTGGGTGTGCAACCGATACATTAGTGTATGAACATTGTAGAGAGAAGATCAAGTCTTTGTCATTAGATGCACATAATTGGATTGAACATAACTTGAAGCCTCAATTCGAGCATCGATGGGCATTATGTAAGGATGAGGGTGTGCGGTTTTGCATGATGACAACTAATTGCTCCGAGAGCTTTAACGGCGTTCTTAAAGGAGCACGAGCTATGCCAATACAATCATTGGTTGCAAGAACGTTCTATAGGCTAAACTCATACTTCAACAAAAGGCGTGAGGACGGTGTAGACTGGACAACGCGTTACACACCAAAGAATGAGTCTATTTTGCATAGAAGAATTGAGGCGGCAAGATTATGTCAAATTACTGTATTCAATGACAATGAATGGCAGGTACAGGATTATGACGGTATCTACACCGTTAAACTGTTTGATGTTGATTGCACTTGCACATGTAACATACCACAACTTCAAAAAATACCTTGTGCACATGTTCTTGCGGCTTCCTCCAATCAGCCGGGTGGTGCGAGAATTCCATATAATCGGTATTGTTCACCATGGTATTCAACAATTCATTACCGAAAGACATACAGTGAGAGTTTTCATCCACCCGATGATAGTCGGTATTGGCCCGAATATACTGGACCACGACTAATTCCACCTCAATACAAGAGACAAGCAGGTCGACCACGATCTGTACGAATTAGGGGAACCATGGATCAAGGACGAGAAGGAATTGTCAAGCATAAAAAATGTAGTCTTTGCAAACAACCGGGACATACTCGACCTCGTTGTCCAGCTAGACTCAATAGATAGCAATTAATTGGTAATAATTGACATATTCAAATTGTGATTTATTTTAATGTAGACAATATAATTAGTCGTGGATCGGTTATTGATATGTTATAATTGTATGTGCAGGTATATACACCATGGAGCCTGGACCGACGAGTGATGAGGTCCTATATGACCAGCCTCGACACCGTTCACATGTTATATCCTTGACAGAGGTAACTAAGTTTCTTATAATTTCAATATTGCATTCTTATAATATTGTATTCTTATATATTCATTTGCTTTACAGAGAGGCCCGGATATTGTTATGGTTGATCATAGCCTCAGCCATAGCCGTTGGCATCTAGAGGATGAGCGCATAATAGCAGCTGTAGGACGGGCCGGCTTCTTGACATGTTCAAAGCTTCGTTGGATGAGGCTCGATTGGCCCCTACTCACCGCTTTGATAGATAGGTGGAGGCCGGAGACCAACACTTTCCACTTCCGAATGGGAGAGTCTACTATTACGCTACAGGATGTAGCTATGATACTTGGTCTCCGCATAGATGGTCCGTGCGTTACCGGCAGTGATAGACATTTTTGGCCGGACAAGTGTGAGGAGTTGTTAGGTGTAGCTCCAGAGTCAATGCCTGGAGGAAATATTAAATTGAAGTGGCTAAAAAATACCTTCTCGGTGCCGTTGCCTTTTGATGCGCCGCCAATATTGATTGAGCAACATGCACGTGCATACATTATGCACATAATCGGTTCAATATTATTTTCAGATTCGAGTAAAGATAAAGTGCATGCCAGGTATCATTTTTATCAGTATTTACAATTATGTCTGCTGATTTAGCTTATTTTGATAACTTGAAATGTTATGAAAATGCTAGGTGGTTACCACTTATCGGGGACTTGGACACGTGTGGTGCGTTATCGTGGGGTAGTGCGGTTTTGGCGTACCTATATAGAGAGATGTCTAAGGTTGCATTCATGAAAAATAGTGACCTCAAAGGGTGTCTCAGCTTACTGCAAGTATGGGCATGGGAGAGGCTGCATTTGAAGCCGAGACTATGCGTGAATTTACAATTAGACGGACAAATTCCACTAGGATGCAGGTATTATATTTTTTAACGTAGTAAATATAATTGTAGTTATTCATTTGGTACTGAATTTTGAAACTAACACAGATGGAATGTCCAAAAATGTTTTGACGAGACCCCGGCGAGACAGTTAGATTTCTACCGAAATGAGCTTGACCGCATGTTTTACGACATACACGGGACTGCTAGTCCCGTGTATTTCGTGGCAATTTCGAATAACACGGGACTAGCAGTCCCGTGCGATCGGGGGTAAAAAATTGAAACCCGTGACTTTCTTCCTCTTTACCTCACTCATTTTCACCCAAACGAGTTTCACCCCCACCTCTTTCACCGCTCCTCAGACCCATCGACGCCGACCACTGCCGCCGCCGATCAAGAGCCCCCCGACCACCGCCGCCGCCGACCAAGTTCCGACCACCGCCGCCGACCAAGTTCCGACCACCGCCGGCGACCAAGGTAAATGTGGTTTTTTTTTTTTTTAATTTTGATTAGCCATGAAATTTCGGATTTGGGAATGGATTTGGGTTGAGATTTGGGAATTATGGTTGAGAGGAATGAATTTAGTTGAGATTTGGGATTAAGGTTGAAATTTGGGAATGTATTTGAGATTAGGGTTTAGACATGATTAGGGTTTAGACATGAATAATGTGATTTGGGATTAGGGAATTTAGCCATTATTTGCTTTGTAGTTGAGATTAGGGTTTTAAATTTGACTTTAAATTAAGATTAATATTTACAGTTATAATAGATTATTTACATATGATGGACTGTTGATTTTCAGCTTCGATGGCAAACTCTATACCCATTATTTGCTTCTTCAATGGGAGCCTCGGCGTCGGATTGAATAGTATGCCGATGTATGAGGGAGGTTTTAGGAAAATGTTTATGTTATCCAAGTCATTAAATTTTGATGGAATGATGAATGAAATACACAGAGTTACGAAAATTAATAAAGCATGTTATGCAATTAAAGTGTTCTTCAATTGTCCGGTAAATGAGAGTAGAACTATTGCTGTGGCGATTACCGACGATGAGGAATTGAATGACATGAAACAATTAGTGGAGAAGCAAGCGTCAGTTGAGTTGTTCATTGAGAAGTATCCGATTCAAGAATTTGCCCAAGCTTCACGACCACAAGGAGAGTTTTCTCGGATGATGGACTTAGACAATGAGTCGAGTGGTTTTATGACATCTCCAAGTCAAGAGCCGTGGTGTCAACTACAACATTTAAGTGGGCATTCTCTTGGTGGGACGTCAAGTACTATATTTAACGACGCATCGGGCTATGTTACGGGTGATCTACCGGCCGGATCAATTGTAGAAGAAGAAGTAAATGATGACTCAGAAGATATTGAAGAAGAAGACGTGCAAATTGATAGCATGCATGTGGCAGTTGGAATCGATGATGATTCTCGTTGGATGGATCAATTTAATGTTAACAATGATTATGTGGAAGCTGAAGATCCGTTGCCCGACGAGTTTCATAATGAAGATTGGATAAATACTTCGCAAGCTGAATTTGTTGATGTTGGTCCAAACTTTCAACGGCCTGAAGACTTCACTTTTAAAAAAGGGGACCTATTCGAGAGCAAGGAAGCATTGATCTTTGCGGTGCGAGAATGGTCTATAAAAAATCGGGTCAATTTCAAGCCTGTAAAAACTAATACAACCAACTACTATGTAAAATGTTATTTCAACGAGAAGAATGAAGTAGAGCATGCAAATGAGCAAGATGAGAGAAACAGGAAATGTCCTTGGTTGCTAAATGCCGCTGTGAGGAAATCAACAAATGGCCAATTTGTAATATCTAGATATTGCGGGCTTCATACATGTTGCAATCCGTCGGTGGACGTCGATAGGTGGAGGCCGGAGACCAACACTTTCCACTTCCGAATGGGAGAGTCTACTATTACGCTACAGGATGTAGCTATGATACTTGGTCTCCGCATAGATGGTCCGTGCGTTACCGGCAGTGATAGACATTTTTGGCCGGAGAAGAGTTCTTGGATGTATGTAAGCTAATTGGTATTGTTATATAAATTACAATCCTATTTTGATATGTACATTACAAACGTATTTCGGGACAATAGATGGTTTTTGGATTTGTAGCTGAGATTGTGGTGTGACTTATTAGATTTGTAAGTGGGTTTGTGGCGTGATTTGTTGGATTTGGATTCGTACGTTTGTGGTGTATTTTATGATTTTTAGATTTGATATGTGTTTATACAGGGAATTGACATGAGTTTGTACAGGGAATTGATATATGTGTTTATGCAATGGTGTAATTTATGATTGTTGCGTTTGAAATATGCGTTTGTACAGGGAATTATCCCGTAGCAGAAATACATGCATAGTGAATGTGCAGGAAATGCACGGGACTGCTAGTCCCGTGCATTTCATTGCGCCCAGGAATTGCACGGGACTAGCAGTCCCGTGCTATTGTTTTTTGCAGAGACAGCAGGCTCTGTAAAATGCACGGGACTGTTAGTCCCGTGCATTTCTTTTTTGCAGACCTTCGTTCCTCTCTGTAATAAACACGGGACTGCTAGTCCCGTGTTATTCGAAATTGCCACGAAATACACGGGACTAGCAGTCCCGTGTATGTCGTAAAAAATCTTCCGCAGCAAAACCGACCCTTTTCTTCTGAAAAGGGTCGGTTTTGCTATTTAAATTTCGATAAGGTCGGTTTTGCTATTTAAAATTCGAAATCGGTTCATTTTGAAAATTTGTCCATTTAGGTGCCGCTCATCCTGCACTATGAGATTGGGGAGGTAACCATACCTAGCCGTGACCAGACCTATATTTGACAAGGGTAGGACCGTCCTTGCAGATCAAAAAGAAAGGAAGGGCAGCGCTTTAAAATGGCAGCAAGTCACCTCTCAGTCTGGTTTTCGACCCGAAATCCGAAAGTTCTCACAACCATCAAACTAAAAATCAAAACCATAACAAGGAGAAGAGAGGGTGAGGGGGAAAAAAAAGAAGAAGAAGGGGGGGAAACAGAAAGGAAAAAAAAAATCCTAGGGGAGGAGAAGGAAGAAGAAGATGAAGGGTTGCGAGCTTTGCCCGGGCACAGCCCGTATGTTCTGCGAGTCCGATCAAGCGGTAAGCCTCTGCTTCGATTTGCGATCAAGGTCAGGCCCCGATTTCCTGCGTGGCCAGGCACTCCAGGGTTCATCCTCTGCCTGGATTGCCAGGTCTCGCACTCCCTGAAGGCGTCGGGATCCAGCATGGGCACCCACCGTCTCCGTTCTTGCGATGCTGCTCCCGGCAGGTCGGCGATCAAGAAAAGGCAGGCCGGCGAGAAGACGCAAGGGAGAGAGCCCTAGAGAGATGGGGGGAGGAGCAATATTGATGACGAGGATAGCGGAAGTACGGTTGCACGACGACGAGCGTGATAGGATGAGAGTGGATGAGGAAAGCCGATGAAGAGGAGGATGAAGACGAGGGAGGAGCGAGCGGAGAGGGAGGAGCAGTCGCGTTGCCTGGCTCGCGGAGACGCCGCCGCCGCCGGCCGCCGCCGAGACCTCGCTCGAGCAGCGATGGAGGAGGAGTCTTCGTTCGTCGGCCGGGGAGGGTGGTGGCTTGAAGGAGCTGAGCAGAGCGTAGATCTGCCGTTCTCCTTCATTATCCTCGGGTAAATTCCGTTCTACGAAAACGGTATTTTTGAGTGAAAAAGATGGGGTTTTTTTAGGGCTAAATTTGTGTTTTCGGCAGGGTCAACTGCCGTACTCATCATCTTCACGGCCTACCGCCGCCCTCCCTAAGCACAAAAGGTTGGACCTCGTTCGGTCTGGTTCGAATCAGTTATTTGGCTCTGATCGCCCTCCCTAACCTGATGAGTAGGTTCGTTCCTTTCATTTTGGTTGCTTTTTTAGGTGAACTTATGTACGTCAGTAGCCAAGTAATTTAAATTTGTTCATTAAAGTTTCTTGCTCTGCGCAACTTCAAGCCTGCGGCGGGAGGTAAGGACTGTGCTTATATTGCTTAGGGCTGGGCGTATTCGGTTCGGTTCGGTTTTAAGCCCAATCCGCATCCAATCCGAATTTTTCGGATTCTCAAAACTCTCATCCAGATCCAGATTTTTTTTTCCCTTCATCCGAATATTCGGCCCAACCGAAATTCGGTTCGGTTCGGTTCGGTTTCGGTTTTGAACCGAATTAACTCCATTTTACAAAAATCTGGGTAAGTTTTAGTTATATCCAAAACTGAAAAGAAGCAATCAAAACTGAAAAGAAACAATCAAAACTGTACTAAGTCACTTAATCAAATTGTATGATCTGAATATAACTAGCTTAATACACTAGGAGGACCATGTAATTATGTAGCCTTTTTTAGAGAAAGAATAATGTTTGGCAGACACACACACCTTTTGATGATTTTCGTTAATTTTTAGCTGCCTTTTTCTCATCAAGAATTATCTTATATCCTTGACAGGCTATACTATAGGTTAATTTGATATCCAGCACCAGCAAGCTGTATTCATGTTATCACTGAAATTTGACCAAAACACTAAATTTATCCTTCAACCTCAACATCTTGTATTGATTTATGGAAATCTCACTTAACTATATCAGCGTACTCAAATATATGTTAGTATAAACTCTACCCCACAATTCTTAAATGCTAAACATTCAGCCATAAATTTTCTTCACACCCAAGGCTCGCAGCTACTTTTTGTTTAAGAATTCGGTTCGGTTTTTTTTGGGCGGTTTAGGGGTTCAAACCGGATCCAAACCGGTTTAATTCGGTTCGGGCGGTTTAGAGACTTCTTCTCATCCATTTAATTCGGTTCGGTTAACCGATCCGTTTTTTCGGGCGGTTTTTTCGGTTGAACCGGTTTGTTTCGGTTTTTGCCCACCCCTAATATTGCTTCCGCAGATTGAGCACCCCTTCGTGGGCTGAACCATGGATTCAGCCAATAATATTTAACTTTTCTGCTTCAAATTTGTGGCCGATGTGAATTGAAGCTTGGTTACTCTGATACCGTATTAAGATAAAGAGCCTCTTCCACCGCACTTACCAAAAAGTATAGGAGTTGTTATTGTGAGGATTGAGGGCTAAAACTATATGTTCTTCACATTTATTTTAAGGCGCTTTTGTCATACGTCACTGGTATAAAACCCATAATAAGGTTGAGCCTGAAAACATCTGATTAATAAGAATGTGTAATCGTGGAAGTGACCGTGATGATTATTTCATAAAAAATTAAAAAAGATTTTGACATTCGAGGTTCTAGGATGATAGGATCAAATGGGTGTTTTTCATGTTGGACACGTGTATTTGGTGATGCATTGAGAAGTTAAACCTGCTTATAGTCTCTGGAAAGTAGAGAGTAACTAGAAATTTTGGGTGGTGAGAAATGTCTGGGTAGGGTTAGCCAGTCACAGTGCCAGTCAAATTCTAAGGGCCAATTTCATGTGGCCGTAGTTTGTTTGGTGGAGTGGAGGATCTTGAGACCCTTTAATATATTGCTGCCCGGTTGTTGGGTAAACTTTGCTAGGAGATAATGCTGACCGTACCAAACACCCGCCTCAATAACTGACGATGAACATCATGCTTTATGTTAAGAGATAGAAGGAGAGATTGCGTGAGGCAATTGGTTCTTGCTGCTTTACCTTGGGAGCATTACTGTTTGTTATCATCCACTATAATGTATGGACTAAAGGGGACAAACATGATTTGGTTTGGGATCAGTTGAACTGTCTTTGGACGTATTAGGTGCTGTTTGATGCAATGCCAGGTGCCTGTAGAAGAGAGAGCGAGATGAGCTCACGCATAAGCAACTTCATATGCAGCAGCAGCAGCAGCAAAATACTGGTCCCCGTTGCATGCTTCCTAGTTTTAGGACCATTACTTTCTCATCGAGCCCCATGCTATTATGTTGGTAGCAGGACAAACTCAACAGTTAACCGTGAAGCACACTTGTCAGATAGTGGTGCCCCAAACTTTCTGAATTTTTGGGATGTCAAAGCAAGGAATCGTACGAATCGAGCCATGGTTGCATAGACATCGGAGACTTAACATGTAGATGGATGGTATGGCGCTAGACTTTGGAATGTCCGACAAAGTACGTGTTGGGTTGCAAGCCCATGAATAGAGATGAGCTAGACTAATTTACTTGGGACACAAATTTTGTGAGAAAGATCAACTCTGTTTCAATCAGGAGTACAAGCATACTTTCAGCCATGTGAGTCTAAATCTCATCTCATGCTGTATGTTATACCAAAACCCACACCTGAAGTGAATGGATACAAGACACTCCCAACAATAAGGCATTTTCTAGTGTCTGATAATGTGAATTGGGCTATTAGACAAAAGCATCTCCAGTTGTAAATGACGACAAGTGGGAGTACTGGTTTAGGGCCAGATGTCATGGGGCGTTATGGGTGGGAGCATGAAGGGCTAGGGATAACTATTGTTGTCTGGAAGCAAAGGTGTCTTTCTCAGGGGCCCCTCCATAGTGATTCATTGTATTAGACGAGCTCATATTTTGCAATCAGTTAGCAGGCCATGCTCATGCTCTACAGTGAACTCCCTGCTATTGGTTATCCATAGGATATCGGTACTGTGCGGATGATGCATTATCATGAACAGTGGACTCCAAATTTGCTGACACTACTCGATCATAGAAATGAGATTTTTTTTAAAACAAATTAAGCTTGAGTTTGTTAGGTAGTATTATTGCAAGCATCTTAAAATCACTCGTCCTCCGTTTTTGTAATAATTACGATGTTGAATAAGGCTCTCTTTTATTATATGGGTAATATAACTTGGTTGTTCCTAAACGGAGGAGGGATTCTGATTGTTACTTATTATCCTTTTGACTATCAGAAAAGTAGTAGGGTAAGATTATTCGTCCTGTATTTGTGTATCGCGTGAGAGTGGAGGCTTGTGGTTGAAAATTGTTTGCCCCATCCTTTGCAAGATGTTGAAGAGAAAAAGGAGGAGAATGTCAACACAAGAGTTTGGCTTTGGTTACTCGTGTCAGTGATTTGTAGCTTGTAGTTTGTACACCTTTGTTAAAGGTGGGAAGAAAAAGGTTGCTTAGTAGTTGGCCTTTACTTAAATTAATTAATTGGAGGGGTCAACGTAGGAAGCATGTCCACATTTGCCTCACCACAAATCAAGGCTTTAATCATGGTCATCACCCTCTGCGTGTTTAGAGTTGAAAGGAATGGAAGTTGTCTGGGTTTTAATTGAAAATGCACTCTGATCACCACTGCTGTGTTGTATGATCAATTTGTATTGGATAAAGTTCAAGGAATAAGTACTCGTAAAATCGTATAGAAAATTGAAATTTAGCAGTCTATTTTCCTTTGAACTTTATTAAGACTTCTGATAGTTGGGTTAATTTCTTGAACATTTTTTTTTTATCATTTACTTTCACCGATATGAATAGTTACTGAAGTTTCCGATTGTGTTTGCTGCAGATGGTTGAGTGAAATGGCTTGTTCTACCACGTAAGCTGTAAAGAAGTTGAAGTAAACTTTCTGTTTTGACAAATATTTGGGATTTTAGGCAGTGGAAACTTTTAAGATCTAACTAATTAATATGTTATGGCTGTGGATGCTGGCTAACTCCCAACACTGAGGATCATTTTGTATCTGTATACCTTTTTTTTGTGAGTGGATCAAAACTATAAAAAGAGGAATTTGTATTTCTTGTTTCCCTTTCCCCCTCTTTTTCTGGTTGTTATTTGCTGCTTTATCTGTTTTCAAAATAAATTCGGAGCATGAGCATCATTTGTGTATCACCGTCGGGGATGGATGAGATTGGGCTGGCAGTGGGCGGTTTTCATGTGGACCGTTTGCGTCCGGCTTACAGGCTTAAGGCCCAGTAGGCAAGGCCTCGAAGCCTGTCTGGTTGGTTGAAGTGAAAGTGGTACTTATTAATTGACTAGGTTTTATGCACATGTAATGCACATAGCAAAATATCATGATTAAGTATTTTTAATTTATTTCCTCGTTAAAATTTGTTTTTTAGTTTTACTTTAATAGTTTTTGTTCACTTATGTCTACAAGTTTTAGCATTGTGATTATTTATTTTTTTTGATATTTGTTTGAATGGACTTAATTTAAATTTTTCATGTTGATAATTGAATTGACAGTAATTAAATGTAATTTAAAGCTAATTTGAATTTTCATGTTATTTGGACCGATATGTAACCAAGCTTGATTTAAGAAAGTATAGCATCACGAAAGTGAAAAATATTTAAAAAAAATAGCCCTATAAAAGTAAGGCGAATAATTGAAGCCAATAAGCCAAGATGATTGATTAAAAACTAGCTAGAATAAAACTAAAAAGAATATGAAGTTATTCTTAATCATTGCTAAACTTCATAAGAAATTATAAACTAAAGATTAATGTTAACTTTAGTACGTTTTTATATGATAAAAGTATCCATATAAGTATGTACTGTACTAAAAATAGTTTATGAAAATCCCTTCTAAATATTCCTAATTTTACTCAAAAAATTAAACTATGCTATACAATATTCAGGATATGGATTTTTTATCATTATGTTTTATTGAGTCGAGATCAATTATTCTCTGCCTTTATCTTTTCTTGTGCAATTCGACTTTATCGTCTACCTCGATTATGACTTCAGAGTTAAGGTGAATTTCTTGTGTTGTTATCTTTTTTTGGGTTCTTTCATGTTTTGTCTTCTTGTCTTACTTCAAAAAGAAATTGCATGTATTTTCGATATTCAACATAAACTTCTAGAAATACGAATTTTAAATAATTTTGTGTTTCAATGAGAAAAAAGATTAATTTAATAATATAAAATTTTTGTTTTTCTAATTTATTACTTAAATAATATTAGGAGTTATCTCTTTTTTTATAATAAATTCTTTCGCTGTGCGTCTAATAAAAGTTTTTACTATGTCAAATAATGTTACGTTGGCTCTGTCTATGTTATTTTCTATGAGGATTTGAACTAAATAACTACATTTCTGATATCAATTGAATAAAAATTGAAAACATGAACGAAAATTGAAAATTGTGATATGTCCTAAATGAATGAAAATTTAAAAAAATTGTGGGTTATAGTTCATAAAAATTGAGAATTTTAAACTCCGGATAATTATTTGTGCTTTGGTCGAAACAAAGAAAAATGGAAAAAAAATTTATGGATTATATCTCATGAAAATCGTGAATTTTTGAACTACGATTATTTATTTACGATGTGGCTAAAATGTTTGAAAATGGAGAATAATTGTGGGTTAAAGGCCATGAAAATCAAGAATTTTGGACTCCAACTAATTATTTATGATTTTATCCAAATGAACAAAAATAGACAAAAAAATTTTTGTAATGACTCATGAAAATCGAGAATTTTGAGCTCCAATTAATTATTTATGATTTGTCCTAAACAAACAGAAATGAAAAAATGGACTATAGGGCATGAAAATCGAGTATTTTGAACTCATATTAATCATTTGTGATTTTATAGAAATGTACAGAAATGAAGAAATTGAGGGTAATAGCTCATGAAGATCGAGAACTTTGAACTCTAGTTATTTATTTTTGAGTTGGTGTAACTGAATAAAAATAGACAAAATTTATGGGTTGTAGCTTATGAAAATGGAGTATTTTGAACTCTGATTAATTATTTGTGATTTTATAAAAATGTATGAAAATGGACAAATATTGTGGGTAATAGCTCATGAAAATAGAGTATTTTAAAATATTATTAATTATTTATGATCTTACCAAAATTAATGAAAATGGATAAAACAAATTGGTAATAGCTCGTGAATATAAAAAAAATTACATCGATTAATTATTTGTGATTTGCCATAAATAAATAAATATGGACAAAAACCGTGGGTTATAGGTCATGAATTTTGAGAATTTTGAACTTTAATTAATTATTTGTGATTACATGAAATAAATATAAATGTAAAAAAATCATTCATGATAACTCCTTAAAATCGAGTATATTGGACTCCGCTTATTATTTTTGATTTTGCCAAAATGTATGAAATCAGAAAAAATTATAATTTATATCTCATGAAAATTGTGAATTTTAAACTCATCCTAGTTTATTACTTGTTATTTGGCCTAAACAAATAAAAATAGACAAAAATTATCGATTATAGCTCATGAAAATCGTGAATATTGAACTCTAGCTAATTATTTGTGATTTGCCAGAAAAGAAGGAAAATGAACAAAAATCGTTGGTTATAGCTCATGAAAATTGTGAATTTTAAACTACAATTATTTATTTATGATGTGGCTGAAACAAACAAATGGACAATAATTACGGGTTAAAGGTTATGAAAATTAAGAAGTTTGAAGTCCAGCTAATTATTTATGATTTGGTCCAAATGAACAAAAATGGAGAAAAAACAAGTGTAATGGCTCATGAAAATCAAGAGTTTTGAACTATCTTTAGTTATTTCTAATTTGTCCTAAACAAACAAAAATGGACAAAACACATGGATTATAGCTCATGAAAATCAAGTATTTTGAAGTCTAATTAATTGTTTATGATTTTACCAAACAGGACAAAAAAGGACAAATATCGTGTGTAATTGTTCATAAAATTTTTGATTTTTGACCTCCGAATAATTGTTTATGATTTAGTCCAAATGAACGATAATGGAGAAAGAAAATGTGTAATGGTTCATGAAAATTAAGAATTTTAAACTCTAATAAATTATTTGTGAACTCTAGTTAATTATTCATGATTTCACGTAAGCTAGTGAAATTGAAAAAAATTATGAGTTATTACCCATACAAATTGAGAATTTTGAACTTCGGCCAATTATTTGTGAATTCACCTAAGCAAAAAAATGCACAAAAATCATGGGTTATACCTCATGAAAAAGAAGAATTTTAAACTCTAGTTAATTATTTGTGATTTGGCATAAATGAATGAAAACTAAAAAAATCATGGGTTATAACTTATGAAAAATAAGAATGTTGAACTCTACTTAATTATTTTTAATTTTGTCGAAATGAACAAAAATTGATAAAAATCGTCACTTATTGCTCATGAAAATTGAGAATTTTGAACATTGATCAATTATTTATGATTTGGCCCAAATGAATAGAAAAATGGACAAAAATTGTGTATTATAGCCCCTGAAAACTGAGAATTTTAAATTCCATATAATTATTTATGATTTGGTCCAAATGAACAAAAATGAACAAATATCTTGGGTAAGAGATAATGAATATCGAAACATTTAGACATCAATTAATTATTTATGTTTGGTCCTAAATGAAAAAATGGATAAAAAATGTGCGATTATACCTTATGAAAATCAAGATTTTTGAACTTTGGTTAATTATTCATGATTTCACGTAAGCTAGTGAAATTGAAAAAATCATGAGTTATTGCTCATGAAATCGAGAATTTTGAACTTTGGCCAATTGTTTGTGAATTTGTTTAAGCAAAAAATGCACAAAAATCATGGGTTACACCTCATAAAAAATGAGTATTTTTAACCCCAATTACTTATTTGTGATTTGGCATAAATGAATAAAAACTAAAAAATCATGGGTTATAACTCATAAAAATTAAGAATATTGAACTCCAGTTAATTATTTTTGGTTTGCTCTAAACAAATGAAAAGTGACAAAAGTTATGTGTTATAGCTCATGAAAATTGAGAATTAAACTCGGTATGATTATTTATGATTTGGCCCAAATGAATGAAAATGGACAAAACTCCTGAGTAATTTCTCATGAATATAAAAAACATTTTACTACAATTAATTATCCGTGATTGGTCCTAAATGAATAAAAATGGAAAAATGTCATGGGTTATTGCTGACGAATATTGAGAATTTTGAATTCCAATTAATTATTTATGATTTCCTAATATAAACATAAACGAGCAAAAATCATTGATGATAACACCTAAAATTCGAGTATTTTGAGCTCCTCTTATTATTTTTTATTTGGTCTTGTTATGGTAATTTACCATCCAAAGATAGAGGTGTCGGGAGAATGTCTGCATAAGCCCAAGAAAGCTATGGTCCAAACTAACTTAGAGGCTCATAAGCCCAGCCAAGGTCAAGTCTCTTGACCAGACGAGCAAAAAAGCCATATTTCGATCAAGGGTCATCATGATCGACTCGAAGTGCGGGATCAGTCGCCCCCTCGCAATTAAGACAACTCCGCGAGCAGACGACTTGACTATACACCCGACCCGAAGCTCACTCGACTATCGGGTCTCCAAACCACGATGATGGCTCGTAGATCAACCCGTCTTGACTAAAGGGATAAGAGCCGACCAAGTTCACTTCAGATATCAATCGATAACAGTATTGATTAGTCCCATCAAGATATCCGTTCTGACAAACCTCATGCCGAAGACGCTTATTCTGCTCATAAGTCATTTCCCAGAAATTTGCCATGATGCTTCCCTGTGTACGAATGACTTCTCCTCCAATCACCAGCCGCCACCTGGAGAGAGAAGGACAAACACGTAGCAGACCTATCCTACGCCCTACCTCTTCTATCAAATCTAGGATACAGAGAAGCTGTTTCTCTCCTGTATTCGAATAACTTCCCTTCCAGTCGTCAGTCGACATTTGGAAGGAGAAGGATGACTCAGCACCTCTACTGCTCACCTCTCAGCCGCCTCCTGTGTATGACCAAAGCCAAGGGACAACACACTCAGAGGCAAGGGACTATAAAAGGGGGAGAAAAGAGGAACACAGGAGGTAAGTGATTCTTTGGCTTGGCTCCTTCTTCTTCATAAAACCAGGAACCTACCTTGGTTAAAAAAGAACTAGAAAACTCTCAAAAGAGTACGCTCCGAGGACCTCAATGGCCCGAGGACCTTCTCCCAAACCCTACTCAAGCTCCACAGCAGACTTGATCGTCGGAGGTACAACGAGGGAAACTAGCCATGTACTCCTGCGATTCTTGTATGTGCAGGTCATCAGCTCACCCAGCACGCTCAGAATCGGGCGTAAAGTCGGAGGAGGTGTCGG